ATTTTCATACGGCGCTGAGATTGGAGGGTGCACTTAACATTCAAACCGTTCTCCGGGGAGCATTCACAGGTTGAAATTGAAATGTTCCAGGTTGAAGGGTCATCACTTAGAGTGCTCAGCGGCCGCGGCCACGTCAGGTCAGTGTCGCAGTTTAAGGCAGATGAACAGAGACAGGGATCAAGTGGTGTTCCACCCTGTGTCCTCTCACACAAAAATACACACATTATACACAGTCGGAAAGGTACACACTTAAAGATTAGTTTCATATTCATGAAAATAGTCTCTGACCCCGTTTATTCACTCACCTTCAGCACTCAACCTAAACCCTAAATATACAATGAAGTGTAACCCTTGACCTGAACTGAACTTGAAGCTTTTCCCGACCTAAAACCAATCCTTTCATGAAGCAACTGCGAGGAGTGAAACTGACACACATGCAGGCTCTCTCTCTCTCTCTCTCTCTCTCTGTATCTCTCTCTCTCTCTGTATCTCTCTCTCCATAATACACTTTTGGCCTACAGCTTTACTCTAGCGGCTCTGATAAAACTGCTTCTCTGCTGGCCTCTTTCAGTTCATTCATGTTCTCTGAAAAAGAGATGACTACGTTTTCAGCTTTTCTATGAATGACGCTCCAACATGCAGATTTCTTCATGTTCTTTATTTTTCTCTTAAAAGTTTTGTTTTGAGATTTTAATGTGTGAAATGATTTTAGGGTTGGGTAAACAGTATTTAAACTCAGTCATTTCTTGAATATTTGCTGTAGTAAAAGTTTTAAAAATTGCTGTGAATAGTCTAGACCACAGGTGGCCAAACTAAAGCCCGGGGGCCACATGCGGCCCTATTAACAATTTCATCCAGCCCGCAGAGCTGTCACAAAAAAAGGAACATTACTCCATTAGCCAAATATTGTAAGCTTGATTTGTTAGAACAAGTGTCCCTCCCCCCCTTTTAAACCAGCTTGCTAACATGTCCTCTCAAGAAAGTGGAACCTAAGATCCTTTAAAGCGTCCTCAACTGTCTCTGCTTGGGCTGATTTACAGGCTCTTCAAAATATTTTCCCTGTCATCAGGCACGATTATAAGTTAACCCTCAATCCGCATTTGGGGGTTTGTTTCGTGCACCACCTGGCCGGCCCGTCCATTGATACCTAAAACCCGATGTGGCCCTCCAGACAAAATAATTGCCCACCCTGGTCTGGACTGACACCAACTCAATTACTTATAATTCACAATTAGATAAAAGCTCAGTCATTCATAACTGGTCCTGTTTGCTTTTGCAGGTTGCATCACTATATTGAAAAATTTCCACGTAATAATTCATCCTAAGAAATTTCTCAACCAGCAGCTGAAACACCACAAAAAGATTGAAATTACCTGCTGGCATGACCACGTCACAAAAGCTAGAGCTCTTTGGAGTATGACGTCAAAGAAGTTGACTGCAGCATTGCTAACTGTGTGGCAACTGACTCCAGTCCTGTAAACATGACTAAGGTCTAAGGGTCATCCTCAGTTTGGCATGTTGTGACCGTCAATGCATACTGTCAACAACAGTTGTACAGATCGAGACCTGTATGAAATAGAACATAACAACAAAACTAAAGCTCCTATAAAGAGTAAATACCATCACATTAACAATGAATTTCTGAGTACTAAAATTATTTTGGAATACTCTGATGAAACATTTTACACATGCACTGAATGTTCCTGAATGTAAATAAGGGTTATCCATTCACATAACTGAGGTTTATCATACTGTCGTACCTCTACGTCATGGTTGCACACCACACATATTTAGCAGTTATTTAGCATTCATTTTAATAATGAATCAAAAGTCAAGAATATACGTCACATTTCATTGCGTTTGACTCTAAAATGAAAACACTGATAATTGCTTTACATTGTTAATAAGCAATTAAAGCCGTTGTAAATGAAAAGTAATGGGATTTTGGACAGGCGATTGAAAATGTCAAAATGGATTAAGCCAATAATTGTTTGACAGCCCTACAAGAATTTGACTCCTTCAGTAAATATTCTGATAATAAAGTTTTGAACAAGTGATTGTGAAAAATGGCGCTACATTGGGTTAGTCTGGAAAAGAAATAGGAAAGAAAATGTGTTTGCTCAAGTAGCTTTTTTTCTCTGAAACTTACAAAACTCCACAAACAGGACAACCATTATTATCAATGAAATTGCAACAAAAACTAAATTCACATCCAAAAATCTTTCTAAATCAGTGACTGTTTTGATTATTTCTAATTAAAATGATTTATAAATGGCTCCACATTTCAGGCAGGAACAGAAGAAATCCAGTGCACTGAGTTCTTCCCATCATGCCACAACTCTTTCTTGTGCTCTACTTCTTACAAAGCCGCTCCACGTTACAATGAGCCCTGGATTAAACTCTGTACCAAATGAGGCTTGCTCTTTGGAAGGAAATGATATGATCAACTTCACACCCATCAGGGGAGCTTGTGTACATCTTGCCTTGGGTCTCGCATCCTCATCCATATTCAAAAGCCTTTCACAGTTCATTATAAACTCACAAAATCTCAGCTTCTTCCTATCCTAGATGGCCATGCTACATTCATTAAAAAGGAGGAATACAAAGCCTCCCCAAATTATAACGATACAAATTCCTCTTGCAATTAGAATTTAACTATTCACCGTCTCACATCTAGGTCTCGCATCAAAAAACATCAAACAGAAGCCTGCCTAATGGATGTCTCTCTACATCACACAATTAACACTCAAGGACAAACAATAAAGGAGTGGGAATCATAGCTGTCTGATGTTACATTCTCTTTTTTAATTTTTTTTTTTCCTGGCGTTCAAGGCCATTTGATATGCAGGTCTAAAAAGTAAACACCTTTGTTTCTTTTTATCAAGAGTTGTCCCCTGAGAGGAGATAACTGGGATACAATCACACAGACCTGCTCAAGTGTTTGCTGAAGTAAAGGCTGAAACTCTGCAGAGGGACAAATTAGAATCACTTCTTCTCCTGCGCATTCAAAATGACAGATACAAAACAAGATTCATGTTCTATGGAGACTTTTTCAGGCAGGTTAAAAGGAAAGCAGAGGACGTATTTGTTATGTAAAATCTGTCCTGCATTAGTTGTTATTAAAATGCTTTCAATACAGCCTGAAATGAGGAGTAAGGTGATAACAAAGGTGCCACTTTTTTTGTATGGATTTAAATGACTGATTTTATTGAAAACTGATTCTTCAAAGCTCTAAAAAAAAAAAAGCCCTTATGTCAAGCTGCTCTGTACTCTCATGGAGGTAAAACAGTTTACAGGAATTACCATTTTGAGGAGTAGAACTTACTCCCTGTAATTTATCTCTCTCAACAAACACAGTACAGACAATTATACTTAAGTGCAAAATATCAAGTTTAATGCAGAACTACATTAAATGAACCAAGTTTCTGTTGAAAAAATCTGTCTTTCCTTGACAGATGCAGGCAGAGCCAGCATTAACGTTGGGGCTGCCACTAACAGTTATTTTGATAATCGACTAGTCAACAATTATTTTTGCGATTAGTTGACTAATTGGATCACAATTACAATGCAGCTTATTGCACCAACATGCAGCTGCTCTAATATAACCATCATTAGCTTCCAGCTTGAAGGTTACTGACATCGCCTTCGTTGCGAGGCTCACAGCTGACATCAATGCTAGCAGCCAACTAGCCAATTAGCTTACCGAGTGCTTCCTTTTCAGGTACTCATGCTGCCATGGAGGCCAAGGTCCGTCATGCAGATTTTGTATTGCACATGGTTCTCTTTTATATTGGAAAAATCCTCCCGAACTTTTGAGCTGCATTGCCAACTAGCCATGATTCTGTTTGGGCATGACTTTTCCCGTGACATTACGGCTGACCCGGGTTACCACTACTGCACATGTGCATCAAGGACAGATGGAGACAAGTGATACAAGACAGCAGAAAGTGCACCAGCAGTTTTAAGAGGACAAAAAAGGACAACGTTTATTATTAAATTAGTCACCGATGTCGCCACGACTAGTTGACTAATCTTTGCAGCCCTAATTGACATTGGCTAATCTTGTTTGTACCAGTGCTTTGCTTCCTCTCACTTGTGTTTTTAACAGTAGCTTAATTATTCAAAGGGGTGGTTACCTCAAAAACCAAGCTGATCATCAATCTGGTAACAAAATAAAAAGAAAAAAGAAAAACTTTAAAATTCGTGATATTCCAACTTTTAAGCGTATGCAAATTTGACAAATGTGTCATAATGTGCAGCCTTGTTTATAACCTTAAAACACACTCTTATACTTTTTGTTACTAAAAAGTAAGCTGTATCCTATATACCAGTGAGACCAGTATACCAGTATCTTAAAAATTGGTCACTTGCACTGGTCAGTCTGTACCCCACAAATAACAACAGCACCTTAGGCTGAGCTTAACTACTGCACAGGTAGCTGGCTGGGTGGTAAAAGGCGAGAAAGAGTTCCATTACCAAACTCAGAATCATTAGCTCGAGTGTGTTACATGTGCAGTTTATGTAAAGATGCAATAAGAGGCAAGCTCTTGACAGGCAGCGAGTTGCAGATAGTATGAAATTATAACACGCTTTGTGCTGCACTTACCCACTTGTCATATTCTATTCTATTATTACTCAAAATCAATCACTGTGCATATTAAGATATCAGAGCTCGATTGGAAAAGACAGAAAAATTCATGCTCTTTGTAAAAACATCTTCATACAAAGAGGGTTGGGTTATAAAAACAGCCTTAGAAAGTATCTCAAATAAAAGTTAAACCCTGAAACTAGAGGAAAAGATTGCATATGTCTCTGTGTGTGTGTTAGCTGCAGTCTGGGTGTGCGATCAGTGTATGTGGGGATGTTAGATCAGGCCAGATGATGATCTGGTTGACTGGTGTTAGCTGAGCTGATCTCACAGTTCCCGAGCTGGGGAGAGCTGAACGCCAATCGCCTCTCCTGCTGCTTCTCAGGCCAAGCTGGCTGTTTTCTAATGAGACATGCGGACAGGGAGCTGTCACACTGACGGGGGCTTGACACATGAAAATGAGACCCCGATCCGCATGCTGGGATTGAGAAGGGAGACTGGGAGGGACCGGGAGGATGAAGAAGTGAAAGAGGGGAAGAAGGAGGAGGAGGAGGAAGAAGAGGAGGAGGAGGAGGAGGGTGGCCTACCAGCTGTCAGAGGACTGAGTGACAGGTCAAGGACGGTGGCTGAGCAGCAAAACTCCTCCAAGGGCCTTTGAGTGACAAGAGACGAAAGTCACGTCTCAGGATACACAGCAGAGGCTGCAAACTCTCCTGTCTGCCTCGTCTCTGTCATCTGACAGGCCTACAAGGACCAAACGTGTTCCACTCAGAGACTACACCACCAGCCGAGAGATTTAGCAGAACATCTTTTATTGATCTGCATTTAAAACTTCTGACTCACTCTCTTCTTTCAATGAAATTCAAAGCGCTTCCCAAGTTTCCTCTTATCCAAAAATCCTTCTTGTATCGCTCTGTTTTGATTTAAGCCTATGATAAGTCTACGTCTAAATATTGCAAAACATATCTGGTTATTCCTCCAAGATGCCCCGCAGACATGCCTTTCTGAGTGATGACTGTGGGATTATCTCTCCATTACAGTGATTCTATCTGACAAGGCATTCTGTCACATCACAAACGGCTGCTTCCCTTGAAGAGCCAGGTGCTCTCTCCGCGTCGCTCACATCCACAGATTGCCGGAGATTTGAGACAGCCCTGCGTTACGTTTCATCTGCAGGGGAGAAAGCAGGCACTCGGGCTCGGCGACACACCCATCCTTCAAGGTGTTCTTGTTCCATCTGCCTGAGGGTCCGGCGGGAATACTTCTCTCTGAGCTCCTTCCTCAGTCCCAGTGAGCAGCCTTTCATGTCAGACAGGATACCAGACAGGAATCCCAGCTAGCACTCGGCTTCACTTAAGACTTACATGTTGACAGAGAGAAAGAGGAGTGTTCTCTTATCTCTGAATGCTCCTGTTTTTTTCTTAGACAGCCCAGACTCAGATGCCAAACTCGAAACATATGCAAAATGGTAAAGAATGGAGCAAGAGGTATGTACAGTAATGCAGCTCAGCGGTAAGAAGAGTAAGAGCTGTCATACGGCTCCGCTTTTTTCTGTGTTTTACTCATTTTCCTGAATTACTTTATTCTTGGATGCACACGTCAATCAAACCAAACTTTGCAGCTCAGATCAGTGTGGGATTGCATAATTTCAGAGGTGTCATTAGGTAAGCGATTTCAGTGAACGTAACTAGGAAGCCTGCCTGAAGATATATTGTTAGGTTACAGGATTAGAAGAGACCCATTCAACTTATACCCAACTTTTATTATGTCAGTTTGCATGACTCGCATCTCCAAAAAACAATTTCTCTTGTATTGACACATGTGAAAACCCTAATTTCAGCAATTTTAGCTGCTTCATTTTGACTGTTTTTAAACTTGGACAGCTTCCAGATGTTACTTTGCATACAGTTTTATAGTTGTGAAATGACCTGAGACTTATACCTGTAAAGAAAATATCTGAGCTTAGCCACAAATGCCTGTTTAGCTCTTTATTTAGCCACATTAGCACAAGTAAGCCATTGATATATTGGCTGTTGTTGTCATGTTATGTGTTTCTGAGCCTTCATGGAAGATCTTGATGATGGCACAGCCGCAGTTTTTCTGATGAAGGTCCAACATCAGTACTTTGCTAAAATTTTTGTTTTTTTGCTCGAAACTTTTGTATGTTTCCTTACCTGCTGAAGTGGAGTAGAGTTCCAAAAAGACATAAGCTTCTGTGTTGAGCGAACTTTTTACTCACACACCTCAGATGAAGTGGACAAACTTGAGTGTCCAACATACTTCCTGGAGTGAGCCAACAGCTGCAAATAGAGAGAGAGAGAAAAAAAAATTGAGTTTAATAGTGTAACCTGTACGTGCAAATGCCTATGACCATTTTAGTCCTTGATTATAAGGAAAATAGCAATATTATTATCTGTAGTCTTCCAAAGCTGCAAAGAGTTGAGAGTGATAACACTTCAGAGTTATACTCCATGGTGTCAGCAGTGAATATTTCACTCTAACCCCCAATTTTCACCGCATCCACCAATGCCTACCAGATCTGTTTGTAAGGCGAATTTCGTGGCAGATTACGGACGGCAATAATCGCGAGAACTCACAAGAACCCTTAGATTCAGGTACAATTGAGCGATAAGTTGTCTTTAGCCACATAGCAGTAGATTGTGTTCTTCCAGATGAGAAAATCTACTCCTAGACTTCTAGAATCAGCATCTCCTCATCCATGGTGTCATCGGGATGAAATGCTGTCTAAAAACCTCTGAGGAACGGAAAGAAGCCGGTGGAAATTGATACATTAACTTGAATGGTAACGATCAGCTGCAATCGGCGGATACTGCCTTTTTTTAGCAGTTCCGGATGCGATGGAAATTGGGGATAAGTGCCTTGTACCAGCAGTGAATCACATGTTATTTACAATTAGGCTTATTTGCTGCATCAAATGAATGCATCTTTAATGTTTGCAAACAACAGACAGTACAACAGGAACATTTAACCCTTTGCATGTTTTCTGTGAACTGGACATTGTTTTGGCTCGTTTGCACTTGACCAGATGCAAAAGCTGCACAAGCTGTCTGTGAATCAGGTTTTCAAGACTGAGCTTCAAATGCTTACGAAAATAAATCCAAAGCAGAGGTGAGTTGTCAATTGTTAGTGAGAGGAGGGGAACATCAGTCTGAATCTTTACTAATTTCAAACAGCAGGTTTTATTGTAAGATTAGTGAGAACACATTGTAATGTCCCATAGGCTGCAAATAGTTCTGATCAGTACACATAAGAGGGTTAAAAGGGGGTCTGGTTTTAGCACAAAATGGTTCTGAGATGTGAAAAAAAAGAGCAACTGCTTGGGCTTTCCATCAAACCATATGAAATGTACATTCTTGTAAGATGTGATATATTCCTGGATCTTGAAAAGCAGACAGGACATATTAGCCCGGGGATTTTTTTAATCTACAAAGATGTCTGACAACACATAGAACTGCTGCAAACAACAAAAACAGAGTGAATGGCATGGATTTTCCATTGCTGTCCAACGAAAATGGACCAAATGTGAAGAGTGTGAGGTGTGAGAGTAGAGGTGGTGGTGGTGGTGGTGAGGAGGAGGGGGGGGACAAGTATCTGCTGAGTGCAGGAAATGAGTGCAGAGTACAAAAATGGTCATGAAAAAAAGGACATGTGAGAGGACCACGGACAAAGACCGTCGGAGAGAAGAGCCGATGAAGGACTGCTGTTAAAATGGCTGGAGCAGAAATCAATACATCTGCAGCCTTGGTGAAGAGATGGCTGCACTGTGGAGAAGCTTATTGATGCTAAAGGTAGATGGTGGGCAGGAAGGACTATGTGTCAAAGAAAAGTGTGTATTATGTGTGTGTTTGTGTGCCTGCAGATGTGTGTGTTGGTGCGTACACATTTGTGTGTGTTTGGTGGGCAGGCAGGGGTGGCCTATGAGGCCTCACCTCTCCAGTGGAGTGGTAAATCAGCCATCAGCCATGTGACAGGCTCAGTACCCCCCTACTCTGCCCAATGAGACATGACCCTCTCAGCCCCCTCCTGCCCTCTTCCCGCCCCCTCCTCGACGGAGCTTTGATATCCCTCCTCGCTCCACTGACCAACCGATGGGAGGGGACGCACCCAGAGCATTCCTCCAAACCAGCCAAACGGAGCAGCTGAATATATCTCATCATGCAACCAAAGCCCAGAGGAGCAGCATCGGCCTTTAGAAGGGGAGAGATTGGGGGGAGGAGGCGTGATGTTAGCTCGCCAGCTGAAACCGCTGCTGACCCGGCGGGAGCCAACAACTGCTTCCTGTCTGCTAGCATTAGTGTAGCCAGCAGTGAGGATAAGCTGATTGCACTTTGGGGCCACGGCACACTGACCTGGCTGCAGCCCACTGCTTACCTCTGTGTCCAACTGCAACCTTCTCAGACACAACATCCTCGTCAACAACTTCAACAACATCTCAGAGAGACGCCCTCAGTTAACAAGAACACTTCATACCAAACTCAACCAAACCAGCAACCTAAAGTGTAACAAAAAATGGAGCCACTGTAGAAGTGCAAAACCTAAAGCTTCTTGAGAGTCCATTTGAGGCTGGCTCCAAAACTAGGAGAAGATTCCATCCAAGGTCTTATTTAAATGTCAATTTTTGTCAATGTCAATGCACTTATTTGGGTAATATTTTGGGGTTCCAGCATAAATAGGAATGACATTGTAGCTATGTGCAAGGCAGCAATGCCATGGCTTCAGCCTCACCTTTTTGCCTGCTAAATTACAAGTGGTTAGTCAGAGTCAACAGTTCACGTATGCTGGTCGCCATACAATGCTTTGTGGCGCCTCTTTAGATACCAAAGGGTATGAAGGTCAAAGAGTAGATGCATGTTTTATACAGCTAATGGGTCAATTTAGACCCTTTAACAAGAGACCCAATCCACGACCAACGTATGTGTCCAACTCTGCTGTTAATCTGGACTTCTGGAAACCTGGAAATGTTCATCCCAACTTCTTCCTTACTAGTAAGGGTGAGCAGATGTAAGAATACAAGGGCAGACAATCTTTTATAATGTCCCAGGTGATCTCTTCAGTAGAAATAACTGTAAATGGGAAACTATGAAACTTCAGAAACACTTATTCTCTGTACCATCAGCAATAATCATCTGAGTATTTCTGGATGCAGTGGGACTCAGTGCTGTATTTGAAGCCTGATGCCATAGATCGCGCTGCCAGCTCAGTCGCACATTGATTTAGCTGACGGATGTTTTGGTCATGAACGGAGATTAGCAACAACTACAAACCCAGGCTGATTGTTGAGCAACAAAGGTTCATTTAGAGGCACAAAAATGAAGGCAATGCACAGATCTGGCCCTCTACCACCAGAGTGGACCAATCCTGTTCTCCTGTTTTTGTGTGGGAACAATTTGTTTTGCTTTTCAGACAAATCTCATTTCTTTACAAAGTGTCTGAGTAAGATACCTGCTGAACCTGCCCTCACTGGCTACATCCAGGGGTGTGTGTATTGGATTAGTGAATACTGAATACTTACATATAGGAACCTCTGCCATCGGTGTGAATGTGATGTCTGAATTTCAAAGCACTTTGAATGGTCACAAGACTAGAAAAACACAATACAAATACACTCAGTTTACTATTTAGTGTTAGCAGTGTTAACTTAATTTGGAGCCCTCTTGGGTTCTTAGATAAAATCATAAGAAAGAAGGGTTTGCAGTGGCGTTAATCTGGCCAGAGAAGTGGCAGCGACTAGAGAGAAGACCTGGCTCAAGGAAAAGGGCCATTCTGAGTAATTTGGTGCCAGGGCCACATTTTGTGTCCAGTGCAAGTTTTGAGGACCCTCATTGAACCAATCTCTTCTCAGCCCCTCACTCTTAAACTAGCCATCATAACTAGATTTCTGACCAGACAGTAAAACTTTTTTTGTTATTATTTTTAGACAATTATGGCCCCAGAAAAGTGGGGTTTTGTTTTAGGAATAACAGGCTGTTGGAGAAATGGGGGTCGGTCCATTGGGAAGTTTGGTCGTCTGGAATAATGGGCTGTCAGAAGAATGGGCAGTCCACAGGTTATGCAGTGCCAGAGATAAGGATCTGCTAGACTAATCTAAGTGATTTGGTAAATTTTAGAAGGCAGTGTTAGTTAGGATGGCACCTGCAATGTCAGCAGTGTCAGCTTGGTGTGTGACTGAGCTGACTGAGCTGGCAGCGGTGAAGGTGTTGGCGTTTGCAGTATCTATGGCATCAGCAATCGGAGTGAAGCCACCGGGGTGTAACTCTCTGGAGGCTCTGGAGGAGCCTGCATATGTGCTGCCTCCGACACCTAATGCCACCGGCTGCACGGAGCACAAACACTGCCTCCGCCTCGGCACAGTCCTCCGGGACACAAACTCACTGTTGCACTCACACACACTCGGCTTGCATCACTTCAGAAGTGAAGTAAAACAAAACCCAGCGTCAGAGAGAGTGAGGGATTAAGGAATTTACTTCCCCCAGCCAGGTGGAGACGAGATTTTTCTGAGGATTAAAAGCTTGAATTAAGAGCGCGGAGCAAGATCAAGATCTGTCTTTGTGTGAATTGGACTTGCAAAAGTGGTAATAATTTCATGGACAGTCTGACTGTGAACGAAGAAAGCAATTCAGCCAAAAATGCAAGCTTACACCTTTGGGTTAATCAGAGTTTACAAAGTGAAAGTTGCTCAACAAATAGTATTAGTGCCCCAGAACAAGGCAAAAGACCCCATAACCTCATGCACTGTGTTGTGATGGTGGCACCGCTCTCACATTTGGACAGGGATTATTCTTTTGTTGAAGTTCAAACGGAATTACTTCAGGTTAGACAGTGGCAGTTAAAGGAACAAGCCTACAAAGAATTAGCAAACTCTGCGGATCTCTCGCTCGAAAAGGGTTTCAGTGAATCCACTATCATCTCTTCAGTTTAGTTCAGTCTATGCATTAATATCAACCTTGTCTCAAAGAGTTACTTTTTTGAGATCAGACCATGGTTTAAAAAACTGTTCACAAGCACCGGACAGCATTCAGGAAATTAACAAAAACTGGTAACATCACAGAGAAGTTAAACTGAACATTATTTAATCAAATATTTTTTGGATCGGGGTTGATAACATCGAACACATTCAAGAACTGGACTTACATGTCTTGATGCCACCCTCTGCTTGGAAAATTGCTGCTCTGAAGCCTCTTGTTTGGCTCGTGGACTGTCACCCTCTTGACTTTTGGAGCCAGAAATGCCTATGTGGAGAGAGCAGTGAGCGGTTAGCTAATGCTATATCATCAACTTATGCTACCTTAACTAGCAAAATATATTACATAAATCACAGCATAAAGTTCGCATTGCACAAAAGATTGGCTGATAGGTTGCTGATTTATCCATTCAGCCTCATCCATTCATAGATTTACTAATCTTTTATAAAGGGTTACCAATGTGTGAGTTTTATCACTTTTCAGCATGAGAAATGTCGTGTGGCGTGTGAGCCAAACTTTTTGAAATGTGTGTGTCTCTCTTGAGAGCCCTGAAATATAGTCAAGATAAGCCAAAACACCAAACTGGTAAAGCAACTTCCTGGGCGAGGGCGAACCTCCCTTCATTACTCAGTGATGAGTTAATATTTTCAACCTCCCATGCCAGTGTCTACAAGTGGATGCCAGGTAGTCGGTATGAGAGTTTCAGCACAATACTGCTGCAACAATTGGCAATTTATGGGGAATAGCTGGAGAACTGGATCGCCAAATTGGACAAATATGTTTTTGAGATCAGTGCAGCACAAGTTTCCTTCCTGAACTAGCTTAGAAATTTCACAGAATGGACACTGTATTGTACAAAGGATGATTTAAAACTTTAGAACACGACTAATGGAAATAAATTATCATGATAATACAAAGAAAGAACTTAGATTAGCAACTAATATTCTTGCCTCTTCCTTGCTAAATAAAGTCAGAGAGATTTAATGGAATTTTTTTAGCTGAGTACTACATGTTTTATTTGTTTTTTAAAGCTGCTAAGCAGAACTTATGGTTCGTGTTCATTTTGGCGCCCAAGTGGCCAAAGTAGTCTTTGTGTCTCTGCATGCTAAAACAGTGTTTTTAGCAACAGCATTTTTTTGACAAGAATGTCACCCTTCTGACTTTGACACTCAAACCAAACATTTATCATTTAAGTGAAAATCCTTTATTTTGTCACCAGTGGATTTTTCCTTAGACTTTATAATCTGCAACCTCCTGTTGTTGACATAATTAAGTGTTGTGCTGACTGTCTGTTTGAATGTTTTTCTCTGAGAGAGATGAGAACAGACTCTTACATATGGATGCAGATGCAGAAAAACACCAAAACAAATATGGCAAGCACTCCAGAAGAACATGCACCAGTGCGATTGGTATTTAATCCAGATTCAAATGCTGAACAGAAGAAAGAATATAACAGCTTGTTGTAAGTGGGTATGGTTTTGTGTGCATGAAACTCACTTAAATCATTATGCCACAATGAGAGCTGATTGAAATTGCCTTGGAGAAGTTGTGTTTTTTTTTTTTTGTTATTTCAGCAACAATGCAGATGCTTTTTAACTTCCACACTCTCAGGGTTGCTAGGCTGTAAAACGGCTAATGTAATTATGTAGAAGCAAGGTAAGATGTGTGTTTTATTTTATAGGACCTATGACATTGTTATACACCTGCTGGATGTTTGACTCTATACATGTTATTTTACAACATACTGTGCTCATGTTTTGAATAAAGCTTGCATCACTGCATCTAAATAACCCAGAATTTTATAACTGCATAAACTCTTCAATTTTAACAGCCATCCTTTCCTACAGATCTTGGAAAAAATCTGAACATGGAGAATCCGCTCAAAACCTGACATTACCATTCCTATTTCAAAGGTCATATTCTACATTTAAGCCATTGCACAAAAGCGACTTCAGTTCAAGCTGAGGTGCGATCACTTGATCCGAGTTCTTCACTTCGCTTTGTAATACCCCACACTTAGGGTAAAAGATCAGTCTGGACATCCACATTAGCAACAGGCAATTCTCGAACCCAACTCTTCCCACCGTGCACAGTATGACTTTTTTTTTTTCTTTTTTTTTTAATTTGGAGCTGTATTTCTACACTTTGGCTACATTTTTTTCCAGCGAGTCCAGTTCAGTTTGCAGAGGAGCAACATAAAAGCAATAAAATGTACTATATGATGTGTATACAGTTGTTTCTTAAATGTCGTTGAACGGCAGCAGACCCCCGCTCCCCTCAGGCCTTAATGGATCATTGTCCTGCTCATGAAGAAGAGATGGTAATACCCACTTAGCCAATTTATGTCAAAAGTAACCGCCTAAATGGTGGTAATTGGATGAATTTCTGCGGCAATGCTAATAAAGGCTAATTGCCACTTCCTCTCTCGGCCACCAAGAAATCCTCCACCAACTGGAAGAGGAGAAAATGGCCCGTGTCTACGCCATGAGGCTCCCCCGCAACATATAACCGCCTTCATTCCTATTCATAGCGCACTTGCATATCTTAAACAGCTCATTTGAATTGGTCCTCTGCCAAACGAGTCTCTCTCCCTCTTAACAAACAAACACGACGACAATATTGCGAGTCAAGCTGTTGTTTGTTACTGGGCAGCGAGATGACGGCGGCTCTGTGACTCCTGCATCACCAACCAGTGTGCAGTGACCTGACCCGCTGCTGAAGGAGTGTGTGAGGAAGCTGCGGATGGGGAAGGAGACATCAAACCCAGGCAGATGGGATGAAACAATGGCACAATGCAGCGCGTCTGTGACAGGATGCAGCAGCTGATCAAGGCAACAGCAATTTACTGGCGATGAGAGGAGATCTTGCAAACACCAAATGTTACCAAATAGCAGAGCTTTGCTTTTAAAATTACTATAATTTGTCTCCTGACAGGATCTATATGAGCCATTTCTTTGTCTTATTATCTCCTCTATGGATGTTGCAGCTGTGACTGCCTTTTATTTTCCATGTATTGTTCTTTTTATTAAGTGGAACACAGAACATAACTCAGTGACATGTCAGATTCTGCAATTTCCTGTGTAGGGTGTGTTGTCTACATCCACTTAGCTAATTAAGACAGTCACAGCAGTGTAGATATCAGGGCAGATCAAACAGTACTGTGTTGATATGGGAAACAGAGGAAGACTAGTCTCAACCAACTCTGTTATATCATAATCCCTGTTCCTTCAGCCTGATTAAAACATTTCAACAAGAGCCCGGGCTGCCTAGCGTGGTAGTGCTGGAGAGAGGCTTGGTGTAGAAATATCACAGCTCCCTCATTAGTGAGAGGGGATTTCATTTGGAATATCTCACCAAGCACTTTGAGAGAAGCGGCTGTATTTACATTTAAAAGATCCAAAGTGGCCGTCTGAAGCTAGCTACCTCTTTCCTTAATTGCTAGCTTCAGTTGTCCATGAATACATCCACTTTATTACTGGCTCTCATTACTGGACAGCACTGAGGAAAGTCTCTTTCTCCTCTGTCTCAGCTACCCCCCCTCCCCACACACACACACACACACACACACACACACACACACACACACACACACACACACACACACACACACTTCCCTCTGTCTCCCTCTCCAGCAGGGCAGGACCACATCAGAGTTCTCCCAGTGGCCAAAAGACACAAACAATCGAGAGGGATTAGACTGTAATCCTGTTTTTACTTTCATCTGCCACATATTTAAAGGAGAAGCTCCGTCAAGCATGGAATTCTTGGGGGATGTGCTCCATGGAAGAATAAGAAGGATCACCGTAAACAATGCGCTCAGACGACGAGGATTACAAGTTTTAAATAAATGACAAGAAGACAACAAGCTTGACAACAGATTTTAATTTAGTGTTTACAGAGTAAATCTTTGCTTGGAATATATTAAGAAAGTAAGTTACTTTGAAGCTGAATAATCGAAGGTCACTTTACTGCCCTCTTTTCTGACTAGAGTGTTCGGTGTCAGGTATAATTTTATTTTCTGAAACCTGGCTATTTAGATTTTTATTATGCATCGAAGCCTGCTATCGCACACAATAATTTAAGACTTTAGGCTAGGGAAATTCCTCAATTGACATCCAGGTGATACTACATATTTTCTTGGACAGCTGGCTTTCGTAAATTTGGATTTCCAGTGACTCTTACTCTCCAGTTGAGGCGGACCCTGCGTAAATAATAGTAGCCATAAAACAAAAAGAGAAGTTTGTCAATACCTAAAACTCTTACAAACCAACTATAAGATGTGTGCATCACATGAGCGTGAGCATTATCTACAGATGTTTCCTGAGGCTGCAGGTGTTGAGCATAAATTAGAGTTGACCTTTTTAAAATGCTAAGATCAGTATTCATAATGGAAGCTATTTACGTATTTAGTCTTAGTCTTAGTCTTTGGCAACAATTATTCCGAGTTTACATCAAATATTAGTCATTTTGGCTCTTTGTAGATCTGATCGATA